AAGGAAGGAAGGAAGGAAGGAAGGAAGGAAGGAAGGAAGGAAGGAAGGAAGGAAGGAAGGAAGGAAGGAAGGACCTTATATTGATCTGTCAGAATCTTACACAACTAGGGTCAAACACATGTTAATAATAAGCAATTATGTCTGATATACCTGTTTGAATATGACCCTTTGAAGATCCTATATTAATTCCTCCTAACTATACAGAGTTGGAGATATCATTCCAAATAAAACAATAGAATGGATGTGTTGACATTCACTGACACAATTTATTTTATGGATGGCTGATCCAGCATAATACCCATGTCATTGCAATGGCTCAGAAGGCATATTCCCCAGCCATTACTGACTAGACAAAAGAGAAAGTATGATTCCAGCAAGCAATCTGAACCACCTGTGCTAAAAGGAACAGAAGTATTTGCCCATTGCTCTGAAAGGTGATTGCAGAAATGTTTTATTCCTTTGATCTATGCACTGGCCCAATATATGTTCTCTTTCTGAGTACAGAAATAAGCAGGTTTATCTGAGGGAGACAATATTCCAAAAGTACAAGAAGTCTGGGAAAGAATAGCACGAATTCCAGGGACTTTTTCTTATTCCTGTTTTCCTCCTCACCTGCAAGACTGGCATAAACACTCTCTCTGTAGCAAAAGGGAATTCTTGTTTGTCCAGAAGAATTTATCAGCATTAAAAGCCTGGCACCCCAAAAAGGGGACGTTTGACTGCATCTGCTCTCTAAAGCTGTCTAGGAGCTAATTAAAATACTCTTTGCCAAACACACTACATATAGCAAAATTAATTAGTACACTTGAGTGGACAAGGAAACATATCCTCAAAAGCTTTTATCAATACCGAAGTCCCTTGTGAAATTGTACTGAAATGAGTTATTTGACCTGTTTTAATGAGGAACCAGTGTCTCTTTAAGCTGTGCTCAATTTTGTTCCTATAAATGTTTTTATATCAGGCTGTGCCAAAGAAGCCCTGGCTACAAAGCAGAGAACAATCTTGCAAAAAAACAAAACAAATCTGACAGATGTGTTCCAATGCATTTGTATTCAATGTATTCAAAACATCAAACACACACATTTTATACTGACACATTACCAGAGGCATCATGTGGTTCATTTTGCTTTGGCTTTTAAAGAACAATTAATGGCAATTATGTGAAGCCAGTCAACTGTGATTTATTCATTAAACCATGTTTAAACAAAATATGAGCCACCGCTAGAACTCTCAATTTGGCACTCCCAAGTGTGCAACCAGAGGTATCCCTTGTTTTTCTCTGTCACTTGATTTTGTATTTTTAAAAAACCTAAAGAAGAGCCAGTGTAGCCCAGAGCTTTATCTGGGCATGTGTCCCTTTGTGCAGAAAAAATAAAGGAAGCAAGGGCAGGAGAGTATACCTGTGGGAGAAGGTGTCAGATGGGATGCCAAGTGGCATTTTTATATACTGATGCTTTATAACTGGCCTCGATCCCCACAACAGTCTTTTTTTTTTTTGGCAAGAAAATCCACAGTGTGGATTCCCAACATGCCACCATCCTCTGAAAGCTGACAATGGCAGTTTAGTATAATGTAAGACATAATTATCTATACTTTAATGCACAGACCTGGCTGAAGAATTCAAATTGCCTCCTGACAGTTAAACCATTTACAGCTTTTAGGGCTGCTTTAGGTTAGCTGGGATTACCTCCCAAACCACTGAGTGGAACCTTCAGCACACTCACCTTAGCAAGTCCTGCTCTGTGAGCACCTTGGGATTCAATATAAGCAATGTACTTTCCAAAATCCTGGAATTCTTCTAGTGTTGGATGGAATGTCATAATTTTACAGCTGGGATTTTGCGGGCTTGGGTTTTCTGACCCCATACTGCTGAAGATGGTTTAGCACTTATGCTGCAAAAAAGAGACAGAAAGAAAGAGAACAAAAAGAAGAAAGGGAAGAACAAAAGTTAAAATCTACCATTGTATCTTTCCATTAATAAATGTAAGGACATTTTAAGTAGTATTAAGACTGAAGTCCAGCTGGTACAACTTAACTGGGTAACGTCTTTCATTCTAGTACTTCTAGTATTTCTACAATCAATTAGTATAATTATGTTGTAAAAATAACATTGATAACTATGAAAATCATAATCACTATTTAAAAAATACACACCCCACACCTTTAGCATATAGTTCTTAACAGAGCTAGCAAGTTATTTTAAAAATTACTATTTAGAGTTATACAAGCAGAAATCCTTTCTTACAAGGGAATGCCAAAAACTGATAAAGAACTTGATATGCTTTTTGTTTCTGTATTAGTTTCCAACAAACTCTGAACCAGTTTGTTCCAACCAAGGTGCATAATGGTAGAAACTGAGGACGTTATAATCCAAAAGATGTAAAGGGCACAATATTGGGGGTGGGTGCTCTAAACTCTGCCTATTAAGATCATCAGAAGAGCTTTTTCTAAGACAATAAAAGCACACAAGCTTATTGCATTAAACAATCGATAGCGTTCATACTGTACTAAGCCAGGAGTTCTCAAACTGTGGGTTATGACTCTTGTGGGGTTGTAGGCAAATCTGAGGTGGAGTCACATATTTGGGGGGTTTATGTACACAAAACTGGATCACTGAAGAATCTGCTCCTAACATGCCTAGAGAAGCAGACAGCAAACTTGGGATTTTATATAGTTGCTGCTAGAGAGAGCAACTATTGACCCAAAATAAAAGTGGAACAAGAAATGAGAGTGGTTTCAGGAATTATGCGCAACTAGGCAAGTTCATCCTACCTATTAAAAATACAGTTTTGAAGTTGATTGTTTCTATCATTTTATTGATAAACTTAAATTTTAATAATTATAAATGGTATATTTATTCATCATTACTTTTATTGGGGGGGGTGTTATAAGACAAATCCATTCATCATAGTCACTGCACAAAGCCACAAAGTAATTTGTTTGGCTTACTGTTGCGTGAGCCCAGCCATTGTGGCTTATTCAACAGTTAAGTAAACCAAACACTGAATGATTTTCCTAATTTACTGACCTCAGATACTTCTACCACCCTTTCTTATCACCAGGATGATGAAATACAATGAGAAGAAACATTCTCTAGCATGTTTATCAAGCAAAAACTTTTGCCATTCTGGGGCTGGCTTAGCTATCTGTTGGACAGAAAAAGCAGAACAATACAATCTGCAAATTCCAAAAGAAAAGTAGCTGTGGGAGAAGCGAGAAAGAAACATTTGTCCAGCTGAAAACAGGTAATAAATTACAGCTTTAAGGAAAGGAAAATTCACCAAGGTTCAAAAATGAAGCCAAAAAGATGAGGGAGGGAGATGTCAGGACTTTACATTAATACAAGACCATTACATGATTTGGCCAACCCTTTCCAGCTACCAGAGAACCTCAGCTTTTATTTTTATGCTGTCTCTACTTTAGGAAACAGGAACCCTAAACCAAAAGACATCTACATGCATTAGAAGAAGAAAGCAACCAAAATGCTAAGGGGCCTGGAAAGAAAAACCTAGCAGAATGGCAGGAGCCTCTAGGTATGTTTAGCCTAGAGAAGAAAGAACTGCTGGAAATAGCTGTCTTCAAAGATCTGAAAGGCAAAAAACAATGTTTAAACTACAAAGTAGCATCAAAATTTCCTAATGGTAGGATCAGTGCAGTAATGGAACACACTGCATGGTGAGAAGTGGGGGTTAGATATGTATTTTATATATAATTAAAACAATGACAGAATCTTGTGACTATAAAACCAAACAAGTTCCAACTTGTAATTACAGGTTAATCCTTAAGTGTCCCTGGGAACTGCAGCTTGTATAAAGCGCAGGAACGTTTTGTTGCAGAAAGGAATATATGCAATTCTCACCTCTAGGCCCCTCAAACTTAACTTAGTTCGGTCCCACCACTACAGTGCTAATGGTGTTTTTGTGGAATGAACAGCTGCCCTACATAAACTTGGCTGATCTTGAAAAAGTTAAGTAAGGTCAGGCTTGATTAGTGCTTGGAGGAGAGATCCTGTTAATCTCATCCAACACGCTAACCACTACACCTCACCTTTTCCAATGTAAGGGAGAAATTCCATTTCTCTTACTTAAAAAGGCACCGTCGTATGTAGCACTTAAGTATCTAGCCCTGCTCTGGTGTATTGATGAGAAAGGGCTGGGAAAAGGGCTCTAATGTGGAGGCCACACTCCAGATCCCTTCCTTGAAGCAATGTCATCTCATTGCACCCAGGAGTCAGGCCTTCCCTCTGGTGCTGCCTTGATGTTGGAACCATCTCCCCTCCAACATACAGCTGACCCAACCCTGCAGGCCTTTGGAAAGGCAGTTAAGACCTGACTCGTTCATTCCTTAGAGATGTGGATCAGGATGAGTAGAGTTCCCATCTGGTGTGATATAACAAATGTGAGTCTCTGATCTCCAGTTAATTGTTTTGTTTGTTTCATTTGTATTTGTGGGGGGGGGGAGAGATCTTCATTTAGTGGTTTTTATATGCATCCCCAGTTGCATTGTTTGAGTTGGGTGGCCATAATAAATGCTTTAAATAAGTGAACAATCAATTTCTTTAACCTTCCTAACATGATTCAGACTATTAAAATAAACATATGTGACTATTTCAGTCACAGATCCAGATTCATCACAATTTAGTGCTGTTTTTATGTAGTTATTTAGAGGAAAAATAAAGGCACTCTGGAATTTAAACACCCTCCACCTGTCAGGTTCGGTCAGCACGGGGCTTCGGGGAAGCTCGTAGCCAGCGAACTCCACCGGCGGCAGCTAGCGAGGAAA